CTTCCGTGGGCCACTGCAGACACCCTTCGGGGCCCTTTCTGCTGGTTCTTGCTCTGGCTTCCTCGGGAGGCGATTCTGAAGTCCCTCCCCAGTGAAGCCGTCGATGTCACTGTCGGCGCTGTCACCCTGCTCATCCCGACCTCTAGGCCTCACGCTCTCGGAGCCAGGCGCTGGTCCACGCTTCGTCTCAGAGCTGCTCTCGCTGCGCCCTTCCAGGGCGCTGTGCACAGGAGACCCTGGGCGGGACGCTGGCTCTCGGGAACCCTCCAGGGACACAGCCAGGGAGTCCCCTCTTCGCCACCATCCTGTGCTCTGGGGCTCTCCGACCTGCTGGGGGAGCTTCGGCCGCCTCCCGCGATGTTGCAGGGAGGGGCTGAGTGGCTGCTGCCGGGCAGGGTCCGCCTCGGTGTTCCCGGCGCCCTCCTGCTGTGTGATCATGGTCCTCCGGATGCCCCCGGTCCTCCAGAACTCTTCCCTCATGGGACTGAGGGCCTCAGGCGCATCTGCATTGCTCTCGTCCCCGGGGTCCTCCATCCCTGTGTAAAAGGCAATCACACCGTGACCACAGACCCCTGAGTGCCTCCTCATGCCCAGGAGCCGGCACCCGCTGGAGGGAAATATGAAGGGCACTGAAATAAAACAGGCTCCTTCTCACAAAGGTGCAGCTGTCCATAAACCGCGGGCTTCTGACCTCCTCTCCTAAGCTGCGGTTGAGACGACTCTAGGGGACTCCTGAACTTCAGTACACAGCAAATGCTCGGCAGAAAACTCTCCGGCCTCCAACGCCATGTACAGTGTCCCGGCTTACACGCTTAGGACCTGCCTGGCCTACCCAAGGGAAGAAGTAAGGAAGGAAGCAGCAGGCCAAACAGGGTGAGGACAGGACCGCCGCCCTGAGGCTGGCTGACGCCCGGTGTCACCTAGAAGCCCGCCCTCCGATGGCACTTGACGTGGAGCAGGCCGCCCAGTGCTGTGCCACCTCTATGCCTGCTGCAAGAGGACTGGCCAGGGCCCCGGGGCTGTGGAGCGGAGCTCGGACACACGCCCTCAGGGCCCGCACAACAGACACTGGTGGCCGAGTGTAGACACCGCCTCAGGCCGTCAAGGGAGGGGACAGCCACTGCTGACCATGCGCTGTGACATGGAAACGGGCCTTGTTTCAGTCCACTGCACTCGGATGAGGCCACAGCTTCAGCCTCTACTCCTGGTCTCTGTTTCACTTCCTTCCTACAACACTAAAGGGTGCATGCCAAACTTTAATTCTTAGTTAAAATGACAAAACTGGAAGAAAATGGTACATACCTGGATGATTCTTTCACATGCTACCCAGGTATTAGTCACACATTGATGCTAATTATGTTTCTGATTTTACTCCATGCCCCATCCTAGGGGAAGGACTGTAGAAAATGAAACCCTAAAAAGGCAAAATACGTAAAACTAAAAGTTAATAGCATCCATTTTTTTCTCCTGAGTGCATTCTGTCCTTCAGTAAGAGATGGCACAGGAGAGCGACCTCTAAGCTGTGTAACCTCGACCCACACTGGGGTCAGTCAGGAGCTGTGGGAATCAGGAGCCCACCACCGGGTCACTTCAGGGGACCCCACCACTGGAAGGACACAGCCCAGCTAAGGAAGCAGAGTGCAGGCTCGGGGGCTGAGGACCTGTGTGCAGCCTTCGGAGGGGTGCACAGCGGGCTCCTTCAGTGGCACTGAGCTGCTGTCCCCCAAGAGGGCTTGTTCACGTCCACTCTGGGAAAAGCCAAGACTGGGGACTTATACAGAGCACAGCCCACAGAACGGCAGCCACAGTTACTAGCTCATCCTCACCAGAAAGTCTTGTGAGGAGAACTTCCTCCACTCATGGAAACCAATGAATTTGTACCACACTTTTACCTTTTTAAAAATTGGTGCTGGGAATCGCACCTGGGGCCCGGAGCACACTAACCACACGTTCTACCCAAATCACACCCCATCCCAGAGGAGGCAAATCTGATAGCAGCTGGAAGAGGCTGAAGTCCTGTTCTGCACAGAGCACTGAACTTCTTCTTGAGTGCGGTTAGAGGGGCCAGCACCAGACCTCACCAAGATGGCCCGGGGCAGGCAGAGTACCCACACCTCCAGGACACCAGGAAGCTCACTGAGTACCAGCTGCCAGCCAAATGGCTTTCTGCAGAAGAATCCTCTTCTACAACACGCCCTCACCATCGAGAGAACACACAATATACAGTGTGAACACATAACACAGCCAGCAGGGGAACCAGGGAATCGAATTGGGAAGAGATGATTAGACATTCAAGTAATCACCTTGGGGTAATGTTTATGACATTGCAAATGACCAGGAAGGCTACTTGGGTCTGTTTCTTTACAAAGACTGTGACTCTGGAGGTAGGAAATACAAATACATCACATTGACTTATTGCTGCTGTTTCACAGGACTGCACTTTACCTGCCCAGCACTGAGCATGGAGACCAGGTCCTGGAACCCCGAACACAACACGAACCGAATGAAGAAGCCGCTTGGTGCCCGCAGTGGCGAGGCCTCAGCTCTCCACAGTCAGTCACCACTCACAAGCGAGAGGACAGAGTTTCTCCTGTGGAGAGCTCCTGCAGGGAGAGAAGGACCTGCTACCGATCCTAGGCAACACCAACAGTGACAAATAAAAGGAGGTACCAAGCTTTCCAAGTTCTCCGTTATTCCAGTGATGGACACACATCCAGGAGGTCTGGGAATGGCCCGCAGGGTCTTTCCAGGACTCTGGCCAATGGGAGACACGCCTGGTGCACTCGAGAGGGGATCTGGTCAGCCCAGGGCCAGCGGCAGGCTTGTTAGCCCGGGGATCTGGGTGGTGGCTCCCACAGGCTGGCCTGAAGGATCAGTAATGGGCAGCAGCTCCTTCCTGGCGATGAGCCTGCTTGTGAGGGGACCCAGCTCAGTGAAGCCCAACATGGGCGTTGGACACAGGGTCACAATTAGAGAGCACAAGTGACAAAGTGATGTTCAGAGTGACTTACAAAGTCTTGATACTGTGGCTATTTCATCACTCAATGAAGATCTGATGAGTTCAGAAAGCCCGTGTTCATGGTAACTGACCTGCAGGGTGCTGGTCACCTCTGTGTATGGAGGGACACTGGTCCTCCCAGGTCCCCTACAACAGCTCCAGTCTGAACACTCACTCAACACCCCTCTTTCCAGCCACTTCCAGAATATTTCTTTTCACCACTGGCCCCACAGCCCGAGCTCCTGAGCAGAGCCACCTCTCACCTCTGCCCCTGGGCAAACAATCCATCTCCCATTAAAGGGACAGGGACCACTCCGACCTCAGCATCCACATGAAGCCACCACAGTCACCTCAGGACCTCCCTGTGGACCTGCTCAAAATCCCTTGCTCCTGATCCCTACTTCAAGGGTTCAGCAACCAGCCAGGCATGGTAGTATACACATGCAATTCCCTACTTGGAGGGTAGGGAAAGAGAATCACAAATTCCAAGCCAGCAAGATGCTGTCTCAAAGTAACAGGCCTGGGGATGCAATCAGCCCACCCTGGGTGCTGCAATCCCCAGCAATGAAAACAACAGCCAAACCCAAAGACTTTAGAACACACTCTGCAGGGGAAACTGGAAATAAACATTGTATTTCACAACACCAGTCATTTATAAAGGCAGAAAGAAAATTAAAAGCTGGGGTTAAGGTTGAGGGTATAAACTTTATGTCTGGGTTTGGGTTTCCTTTTACTAATTAGACACAGCTGCTGGGGGTCTGGCTGCATCCCAGCCTAGAAGCAGGCTGGAGCTGGACTCCACATTTCTAGAAAGCCAAGCACAGTGTGGCACATGTGCATGCGCACACACACACATGCACACACGCATGCACACGCGTGAGTGCGCACATGCATGCTGGGTGACATCGGCTGAAGGAGCTGGGGGCTGGTCTGGGAGGGAGGTTGGGGGAGTGTGTTGGCTTGGACAGTGGGAAAGGGCAGTGGAGTAGGGTTTCCACAGGGCTGTGGGGTTGGACGAATGAGACCCAGTAACAGAGGTGTGTGTGCATGAAGGGTTGCGTTAAAGGGAAGCACACAGTATTTCTCCAGAGACTTGAGGGAAACTACTCAGAGGCACTCTGCATACCCAAAATGGCTTCGATGTTGTGTAGCTGGGTGCTGGGCCGAGCACATCTTGGTGGCAGAATTGTACTACAGTATTCAACAAAGCCTCTGACGTGGGAGCTGCCTACAGAGTGACCCTCCCCAGGTAAGGGGGAAGGGAGTCCTCGTGGTCATCTGGTGCTTGGCACATGGGCTTTCTGAGGTCGTGGGACATCATGGAGGTGGTCTCAATGTCTGCAAGTGGTCTGCAGGTGGCTGACCCCTACGCCAAGGGAGGACCCCTCCTTGTCCTTGCTTTGAGGTCCGATTTGCTGTTGGCTCAGCTGGGAAAGAGGCAGCCAGAGCCTAAGCCTCGGGATGAAACAGCCCAGCAGTTTCTGCTCATGGCAGGTTTGTGGACACAAGTGCTTGCTGAACAGCTGAGCACTCGCCTGCTACCAGCAGATGGCGCTCCAGGGCAGGCCTGTGTGTAGGCACCTGGAGCTACTACCAACTCCGCCTGATCAGTGGCTTTGACAGATTGCCCCTCTTAGGGCAGAAGCCAGGGATCAAGGGCTTGGCTTTGGGTGAAACTAATGCCAAAATGACACCTGCTCAGTCAGTCCTTCCTGTAGCTCATAACCTCTTGCTTCAACCACGTGTCACTTTTAGTGACTTGGCACTCCTGTGGCAGCCTCAGTGTTCCTGCTGGTACAGTTCATGGATTTGGCAGATGGAGCCTCTCTGTGGGTCCCTAGCTAACTCCAGGTCAGGTATGTTACTTCCCCATTCATGCAGAGCTGGGGCTGGCCTGGCAGGAAGAGGGAGGACCCAGATCTTCTGAGGTGACCCAGGGGCCCAGGCCTGGGCCCACACCCAAATTCAGGGTTGAGACCAAGTGAAGAGCTGAGACAAGAACTCTCTGTAGATATTTATTCTGCTTCAAGTAACAAAACCTATTAAGTCCTGTATTTCAATGTACAGTGATATAACACTCTGCAATACAAAATAACAATTTACAGAAATTCCTATCAAGTAAACCTAAAGAAACACACTTGATCTTAACATTTGTGTATTTAAATTAGAAAAATTTGCTTTATAATGTTAAAAAAACCTTTTCCATCAATGTTAGATGTTGGAACGTGACCCTACTTTAATTTAACCTACTGATGCTTGATTTCTAACGCCAAACACCCCAAATTTCTAAATTCTCAAGGTTTTCTTAACTTAGAAATCTGTGCTATAAAGTGAAAAATCTGTAGTGATGTACAATACAATGGATAAGACTCCAAAGAACAAATGAAACACTAATTTTATATCTGCAAAGTTTATGAAAATATAAAAAGAATTATCAAAGCGTATTTGTACAGTCAAATAAGTTAACCAGGCTTTCTCTATTCCGTATCAGAAGTACCTGACATGGGACAAGAAGCAGAACACTATTTCAGGGAGAACCTGTTTTGTTGTTGAACTGATAATAAATCACTCCTGTCCTACTCAGACTCTGTACAAATTGACTCCATTCCAGTGGCAAACGCAAGCCAACACCTGAAGTAGGCAGCCAAGGGAGTGGGAGCTCGGGATAGGGAGAGCCACTCATGGCCAGAACCTGACGTCATGTTCCTGACTGTGCACACTGAAGAGACCTCTCCTGCCCTCTTTAAGGTGGTAAAATTGAAACATGTTTGAATAAATTATTATTTCAAATGCAACAATATCTACTAGGCTAGATGTTGCTTTGAATTTCTTTTGAAAAAATTCAAAACTAAGAAAAGTATTTTTGTCTCTGGATTGAAATCTGTAAGTTAAATTTCTTCACAACGAAGCAAAGATGAATTCACAACGTTCGGGTTTCTCGACACTGCAGGGGAGCTCCTGAGACCTCCTCCCACAGCTCTGGCAGCACCCGAGCTCACCCACCTGGTCACCCTGGCCAGGTGGCTCACTGTCCCAGGCCAGCCCTGGGAGCAGCTTCAGAAACACGCCAACAGACGAGGAGCTAGCAAAGGTATGGCTCTGAGTCCACTGGAATTCCCTTAAAACTTACAACAGTCAAGCTATTGGAAAGATAACTATAATCTGAAAAAGCAATATGCTTTTGTAGATATTTTCCCACTTCTGTAATTTTAAATGGAAATACTAAGTTCTGAAGTTGTTTTTTAAAAAAGCATCAGATAAAGATGTGAAATTTTGTAAGAAACCAGTATATACAAAATTACAGCAATTTTAAGTCCAGAATATTCTTTCCGGCATCTAAGTTCATCAGAGCAATTTCAAAAACTTTGCACAATGTTTTAAGAACTTAGCTTTTTAAAAAGATCTCTACCGGGCTGAGTCTCAATGAGACTAGCCAACGCGTCTGACACCACGCCCCGGCATGGTGGCGTCTAGGCCTAAGCAGAGGTGCTGCCCGGATCAGAGGGCTTCGTGGCCTCCAGCTTCAAGTCCCTGGTGCTCTCTTTGCTCTTGCTGCGGTCCTTGCGCTCTCCGGCTCGCTCTCTGTCCCGGGCCCTCTCTCGGTCACGGTCTCGGCTCCGGGACCTATCCCGGTCCCGCCTTCTGTCTCGGTCCCGATTTCTGCTTCTCTCCCGGCTTCGGTCCCACTCCTTGGTCCGATCTGCCTGTCGCTCTTTGTCCCGGCTTGGGTTCCTCTCGTTGTTCTTGTCCCACTCGCGGCTGCAGTCTTTCTCTCTGTGTCTGTCCCACTCTCGGCTCCTCTCCCAGTCTCTTTCTCGACTCCAGTTCCGGCCACGGTCTCGATCTCGCCTCCTGTCCTCAAATGCCCGGCCCTGCCGACTCTCTGGCTCTTGGACTTCTGGCTCCTCCAGTGCTTTTTCTTTGGGCCCGGCTTCAAACCGTTCTCTCTGCCTCCCTTCAAAAGTCTGGTTCCTGTACTCATGGCCTTTGCCCTCTCGGAAGTCGGCTGCCACAGCCCACTGTCCATCAGCCTCAGGGCCCTGTCCAGACGAAGCACTAGGAGGCAGGGCTGTGGCCGGGCCAGCTTCATCCCATCGGTCCTTCCTGTGCTGCGGGGGGTGGCTTGGAAGCTCCAGGAGGGGTCTGGGGGATGGTTTCATTGCTTGAGGTGACGGGCCTGGGCCCGGAAAGTGAAATCGGGGAGGTGTCTGCTCGTTTTTTTCAGAAAAGGGCGCAGAGACCCTTGGTCCCCCAAATGGCATAGGTGCTGGTGTCCTCTGACCTGCAAACCTAGGCGGTGAGTTTACCCTCTGCTCTTCAAACTGCTGAGGCTGAAGGCCCCGGGGCCCTGGCATGAAACCTGGGGCTTGGCCTCTGGGTCCTTCAAACTGATTGGGATGGGGCCCCCGGGGGCCCACAAAATGGCCAGGGGGTGGTCCTCTCTGGCCGCCAAACTGGGCAGGTGGGGGTCCCCCTCGGGAACCTTTTAGCTGAGTCAGGAGAGGCCGTCTTTGGCCTCCAAACTGGAAAGGTGAAGGGCCCCTGTTTCCCATGAACTGAGCCTGCTCTGGTCCTTCACACTGGGCAGAGGGACCTGTCATCTCACTGTACAGGGTGTCCTGGAATTCCCTTTTCTCCCCATGGGGATCTTTGTGTTCCTCAAACTGGGCTGGTGCTCCCGCTCTGGGCCCAAGGTAAGAGGGAGAGGGACCCCTATTGTCTCCATAAGGCGGCCCATGTTGCCCCAAGAATAAGGAAGGGATGGGTGCCTTCTGGGGCCCGAATCTGGCAGGTGGAGGTGCTCTTGGCCCATCACTCTTAGGAACTACATTATCTTCTGGAAACGGAGGGACTGGTCCCCTGGGTCCTGGGAAATTTGGGCCATGAAATCCAGACATCCCAAAAGGGCGAGGAATGGATTCACGCTGGCCTGGAAACTGGGGCTGAAGGGCTCCCTTTTGCCCAGCCTGAGGGTATAGGGCAGTGCCTTCACCAGGCCTGGACAGTGGCTCTCTGTCACCCTCTGCACCACTGGCTGGGCTGTCACTCTTTCCAGCACACTGAGTGTTTCTTGGGTCCTCATACAGAGGTGGGCAAAGAGATTTTTCCTGAGATGTAAATACCAGGCCTGAGAAAGGCTCTCTTCCTCCAGCAGGATTAAAATTCTGTACATCATTGTGCAGGGTGAAGCCAGGCTGAAAGGCAGTGCTCGGAGGTGTAGGCAGCAGCACTCTCCGGGCAGGTCTGGCTGTGCTGTCTCCGGCTGCTGGGGGATGAATGTTCTCCAGGGGCTGCGGAGCGGGGTTTCCAGGGTGCTCACACCCCTGGCCATCCTGCTTGGACATCAGTGCAGCCTTTTCACCTGCACCCCAAGGAGCCGTCAACTGCTTTGATTCTGGGGCTGCTACAGGCACCTGGACTGCTGTGGCCCCACAAGGAGCCTCCCTGGTAGCCAGGGCACCCTGTACTCCTGGAACACTGCCTGCCGGACTCCTGGAGAGGGGCTCATTCTCGCTGTTCTCCGCCAGGCGTCTGGCCTGCCTAGGGTCTCTATTCTGCCTCAAGTCTGAGCTTTGGTTTGTCCCTGGGACTCCCTGATTCTGGTCTGGGGCCTGCTGCTCCTGGGGGAACAGCTCTCCCTTAGCCAGTGATGACTTTGGAGGTGGCGACATCAATGCATCTGAAACGGAGAAGTGTGCCATGGAAACCCCCACGGCAGCTCTCTGCTGCCTAAGAGCTTCTTCTTGTTCCTCTAGCTGCCGCTTCTGCTCCTCAATTTGTTTGTTTAGTTCCTCCAGCATTTTCTGCTGTTCAACCAAGGAGGGAGTGGGGACGTCAGTGGTATACTCTGTAGGCTTCTCCGTGGAGCTGCTTCTCACGTCTGCACACATCCTGTTGGGCAGGTCGTCAATGGTCACCTTGGCTTCCTCTAAAATTGTCTCATCTTCAGGGTCATAGGCCACCTCTTCCCTCTCAGCCGCGTCTGGAGCCTTTTCCACATCGTGGGACGTCCTTGTCTCAGGAAGTGGGGCGTCGAAGGCTCGTTCTGGGTCATATTCTTCTTCAGGGTCATAGGGCCTGTCATCTTCCTCTTCTTCCAGAGCCTTATCTTTTGAGAGCTGACCAAACTGCTGAACGATGGGATCTAACAGAGGAGCAGCGGACACGCCTTCCTCACCCTTGTTTTTGGAATCCTGCTGAGGAGCTAGAGGTGGCCCAGCAGAGTCTCTGGCCCGGGGTTCAAACACCTTCTTCTTTCCGAAGAGAGTCTGCAGAATGTGCTCCAAGGGGGTGGCCGTCTTGGAAGCTGATGAAGTGACAGGTGAAGCGGGAGCTGCCGTGGTAACTGCTGCTGCTGAGGCAGGTGCAGCACTGCTGGTGGCTGCCGGTGTGAGTGATGACAGCGTCTTCAGCACTGGGGGCTCAGGGAGAGGGGGCGGGGGTGGAGGAGACCCAGGGGGCGTGGTGCCCACCACTGCGTCTGCAGAGTATAGCTGGTACTTGGGGGGCTTCCTCTCAGACTGTGAGGCTGCCGTGACTTTGGGATAGACTGGAACATCCATTTCTTCCTGTTGAACTCGGGCCCGCTTCTCCTCTGTCTTGTCTGCCTCTCCAGCATTTGAAGGACGTTTTATTTTCTGACAGATCACTAACCCAAGGATTATATTTGGACGTGGAGACTCAAGACCTAAAAAACAAAATATTTGTGAATTTTTATAATCTAAATTCAATTTTCATCCTTCACACTTAAATTTTATAAAGGGAATCTCAAGGGGAATGGTAGGTGAAGAGATTCTGGGGTAAAATAAAATCACGTTTGAGAAGACCAGGTGACTGCAGTCCCTGAACCTACCTGCACATCTGCCTGTCCTGAGAGCAGGCGAGATGCACCCCCAATCACAAACTACAAAGGACACAATTCTTGAGTAAATTCATTCCATCATCAGAGATTATGCCCGATGCTCTTAAATGTATAATGCTAATACAGGTTCAAAGGACACAGAAGCCCAGAGATCACAAGGGTGGATGGACTAGGAGTTTTAACTTTTATTTCTTGCAGTACTGATAACTGAACCCAGGACCTCTCATGTACAAAGCAAGCACTGTACCACTCAGCTACATCCCCAGTCCTGTACTGGGACATTTTAAATAAAATCTGACCTGGACTCTATTTGCCCCTTGGTAGGTACCAGGAGGTAAACAACCACTTTTGTCTTTAATTTATTACTCACAACACACAAATAGAGCTAAATATACTAAGTAAAAGCTGTTCAGGAAAAAAAATGTCAGAATTATAATTAATGGGAAAAATGAAGCTGTCTGAAATGGCTAATTGATCTAGTTTAAGAACAAAATTCAGTGAGGATTAGCTTTTGAAGAACTACCTGATCCTCAAGTCTTCCTAAATACAGAGAACAGTGCTTACTTGAAACACCAAGACATCAGAATTGGGAGGCAAAGATCACATCACAGGGAGGAAACATGGGGAGGTCCAGAGCACAGTTTATTAAAGGTATTTAGTGCTTGACATAGGACTACTCCAAACATTCTAAGTTGTGTAACTTAGACCAGGAGTATTCATCTTGCAATAATGATTCTTCCATCTAGTACTCATAAATAAACCAATACCAAAAGAGGGATGAAATATCCAAGACATAAAACACTAACATAAGTTACAGTAATATAGAAGGAACAGAATGTGTTTCAGTAACATGTACACATCTAAAACTCAATGTTCAGGTAATTTAACATTGCCATGGTACACAAAAGTATTCATAGTATTTTTTCCTTATAATTAAAACCAATACTAAAAGCAGATCATGGTGGTGCACACCTGTAATCCCAGCACTCAGGAGGCTGAGGCAGGTCAGCCTGGACTACACAGCACAATCCTGTCTCAAAAAACCAAAGCAAACAAAACAAAACAAGAACCAATACTAAAGATTTTCTTCCTGTTGTAATTTTTTAAAATGGCCATTAATCATTTCAAATAGCTGTCTCTGGATACTATTATGTAGTTGTAACTGTGTGTGTTCAATCTTCTTAATCCCAGGAAGATACTTATGACAGACAGCCTGAGCACACCATGGGGTCCATCCTCTCACCCCTTCAGGGAAAAGAGCAGGCCTGCCAGATGGACCTGGCACCCACCCCCCATCCGTGCATACAATGGCTGCTCTCCCTCCCTCAAGGCCTCCTAAGGGCCTGTTCCTTCCTGGGCTAGAGTCCAAGAGCTGAGATAAGGCCTTAACTGTCATGTAAGCAAGGACCTTCCCAGGGTCCTTTCACTAGAGAAATGGCATAGTGGATCAGAGGAAAAGCTGACAGAGGAGCCACAGTAACTCAAAAGACAGGCACACCAAACATGACATTCAGATTTTTCCACACAGCAAATGTGAAATGCAATCTATCAAGTTTATTTTCTAACAACCATGAATAAAGGGTATTTTAACTTAAAACACCACCTTTCACTAATAGCTATTTACTTACTACTTTATTCAATTCTATAGTTCTGGGGTATGTTGTTAAATGGGCTACTGTGGTCTTTCGGGAACAAAGGTCTGTCTAAATTGACCACAAGGTGTGCAGAGGAGGTTGGAGTACTGAGCAATCAAAATTTAGGCCCTCAAGATGAGATTCTAAGGGAGGCCAAGCTCTCTAGAATCTGACGCCAGGAATGGAATACAAACAAGCTCTGCAGGCTGAGGCAATAGGGGAGGAGCGATGGACAGCAAGAGATGTGTGGGCTCAGGCCTGGGCAAGCCCAGGACAGATCAGTGCCAAACATTTGCCCTCAGCTCTGATGGAGTGAGCTGAAAAGCTCCAAAGGCTTGTATCAGGGCTTCTGCTACAAATCAAGTGCTCGCTCTGAGACCCAAGGGCTCTGCCCTTGTGGAGTGTTCCTCTAACCATGGTTCATTTCCTGGATGAACTACTGAGTCCTAGGCCAGGAAAATTCTCTCGACCCTGACCTGTGTGGTCATGGTCCTCATAGTTAGATGACTGTTACATTACTTCACATCTACACTGGTACTGGGCAATGTAGATGTCTGGAGGTTGGTTCCAACCAGTAGCTGGTCTTCTGAAATGTTGTCACCTCTTGACCATCCTATCCACAGTGCGTGGGCTGATCAAGGTGTAGACAGGCCAATGTGCCTTGAATTTCCCACGAAACTTCAAGACTCTGAATTCAAACTAAGCTGTCCCATGACAGACACCCCAATTTTGAAGGGCACCCTCACCACCTGACTCAGGTATTGATGCCACTGTGGGATGCTGCAGGAATATCTGAAATAGCACCCTGGGAGCAGCTTCTATTTAAGAAATAATACAACTCACTTATTGGTAATCTTGGAAGCATCATCAGGGAGGGAAGGAGGAAGTGTATGTCTCGAATTTAAAGATGTTCCACACTGCCCTAAGAAGGGTGTCAGGCGGGAAAATGTCAAACCAGGTCAGAAGGTCACCTGAGTCTGTCCAGCTATTCCCTACACCTGGGAGAGGGGCAGTAGAGGCCTGTTTCTCAGGGCTCACTTTACAGGCTTGCCCCACTTAGCTGCCACAGGAAGAGTGCTAACCCCTGAAGCATGCGGTGCGTCCTGAGAAACAGTTGCCTCACCAGCTGTGGCAGAGACTGAGTGTGGGACAGGTGTCAGGGGCCAACACTGGCCACAAGCATGCTTACCAACTGACTTTCTTCTTGAGGGCAGTTGTGAGGTTTTCAACTATCACAGCGGGTAAAAAGAAGCAACTAGGTGTTGGGATATTGAAGTAGCAGTTGCAATTAACACGCACCCTCCTTCATTTCCACAAGTGATAAGGACACAGGTACACTAGGGACCTGTTTTCCTTCAAAATGTAGCATATGTGGTACAGCCATGTATGCAAATGAGCCTATTAAGCACCACATGTCACCCTTGAGCTTGCAGGGTAAGAGTCTAGTCCCAGACCCAGAGCTCTTAGACCAGACATACAGAGAACAGAGAAACCAGGAGAAGCCAAGTGGTGTAAACTGGAAAGGTGTGTGCCGATTAATTTCCTGGGACAGGACCAGAATTGGGACCTGTATCTAGATCAGTCAGCAATAAACTGTGAGGCATGGTGTGGCCAGGAAAGAAGGTCCCCCGTTTCTACAGACACGGGGCAGTGGCACTCTGTGAACACCCCACAAGTATCACACAGGAACTATTCATTAAGATGACAATCCTCTTAAGGTCTGAATCTGCCAGAAGAAAACATTTATACTTGCTGGAACAGAAACTGTGTGGAAGTTAACAAACAACAAATATGACTTGGACAGAGATTTGGCAAACACGGGGGAGAGGCACGATACTTTCCCCAGTGTACCAGCCACACACACGTACACCCCAGAACCCTCCCACTTTTCCACTCTGAATCCCTAAGGCTTGTAAAAAGCCCCCGGCCCAGGGTATATTTCAGGTAGGAGGAGGGCACTGTCCTTCCAGGTGCCCAGTGCAGGACCTTGCCTGAAGCAGGCCAGCCCAGAGTCCTCTGTACTATCAGAAGCAGGTTACCCCGGCTTATAAGAAGCAAAGGTAAACCAATGACAGGTGGCCAGGAGCTACGAAGTGGTGCAAGTCAAACAAACAGTGACCAGTTTCCATGTAACATTTTTATTGATTTAGAGAGAGAAATTAGTACATTTCATTCAATACTATATTCTGACTTTGATTACAATTTCTGGGCAAAACTACTGATACAAACATATGAAAACCGAAGAAGTGCTTACCTGTCAATATGTGAAGACACAGTACTTTCCAGCTAATTAAGAAGCAGTTAAAAGTGATCACAAAAAGGCACTGTAGACTCTGACACTTTTCCAAGGATGCATTCTCGAAGTAAGTCAGAGATCGCACCCTTTCTCTTAAGAGTGTTCAAGGAGGGGATGCATAGCAGAGACTGCACATCTACTTGTAACCTGGGCTACACAGCAGGTACGCATATCAAGACCAAGTCCCACTGTTCTCTCAGACTAGGTGGGCCACACGGGCCCCCAGTGAGTGCCAGGTGGGCATCTTAGCTTCAGGCCCAGCGCTGTCTGGGCCGCACAGAACAGATGAGATCCCCTTTCCCCAACTACTCTTGTTCCTGTGCTTGAGGCCCTAGACTTGCAGGCTCTGAGACCTCAAGTCCTCTCATTGAGACCATCAGTGGCTCGCTCTGAAGTCCAGCTCAACTGAGGTCTAAGTGGCGAGGACCCACATCTGGATAAGAGGACCCAGGCTTTCCTGCTGTCTTCTGAAACAATGATGATATAACTAAAGTTGTCACTGTCTCACAGAACAAGATCATCCCGTGTTTCTGTGGAGGGATCATTGCAATGCACAGAGACGAAGATTTCTAGAGGCACTCAGTAGGTTCTGCTCTGGATGTGCTCTGAACCATGTGTGAACATATGGTGTATAAGGAGCCTATGTGGAAGCAGGTCTACATGGCCATGGCTGCCACAGCGTGAGAGAATCAAGTGTGAGCCAACGGGCCAGCCAACTTGGGTATTCCATGAGGGCCCTCCCGGGGCAGCTGTGGGGTCTTTGTTGGCTTCTCCAATGTGAACAGTGAAGCTTGTGAGGATCCTGTGCTATCAGAACCTACTTTGGCTCTGAGGCACACAGATGAGTGTGGTCGACCTCTCTACCACTATCATGACCTTTTGAGTATGCCCTCCACTCGACTGGCACACCAGTCCCTGCCACAAACTGCAGCCTCCAGCCTGGATGCTACATGGCCTTTAGACTTGTGCTTCCTGCACTTCACAGAACACGGAGGGGAGCAACCTTAGCACTGAGGGCAAAGTTTTAGGTGGATGAGAAGCCCAGTCCTACTACTTCTAGGAGCACACTGGGAGCAAGTGACACCATGGGCAGTGCAAAGACCCTGGCTTGCCATGTGGCAGTTGCTTAGACAGGACCAAGGGACTGCTGAGGGGACATGGCCGCCACCTTTTGACAGGGCCTGAGCTACCCAAAGTATTCTGCTGAGACTAGACTGTGAGGACAGGAACACTGAGTTGGGAGAAGGGTTCCAGCTCAGATACACACACATGCACGTACACACACACACACACACACACACACACACACACACACACACACTAGTTATCTCGAAAACGCCAAGCCATCAGTGTGCAGGGTATCCCAGCCACAAGCTCACCTGCCGCCAGTGTGTAAATACCACACACACATTTTCATGTCCACAGTGGTGTCAAAAGAAAAAAAAGGCACAGCGAAGTCCTTAAGTTGAAAAAAAAATCTTGCAAAGTTTGTGGCAATATTTCATTCCCTTTCTAAGATCCCCCCCTTCCTACTTTAGTAAACGCAACTGTTATTTACTGTAGACGGACTGTCTTTTGAGCACCCTCAGCAGGGTCATGGCTTCAGGATGTGCCCTGGCAGCGAGTGTGATGCCTGCGTGTTGGCACTAAGTGTGCATCTGGGTCAGTACCAATCACACTTGGTGGATGAGGTGAGCCCTGCCCCACCTAACCCGGACCATGGGAGAGCACAGCATGGCCCTTTTCCCCTGTGCTCGCCGGCTCTGCAGAAGCACTGCACTCGTGTGACTGAGTTTCACGATGGAGCCGCTACTCCTCTGGCGGCCTCCTACCTTTTTGCTGTCCTCTACTGAGAGCCTCTTTCAACTGTGCTTGACAGAAGCCAACGAGCAGCCCACAACTGCACCCACTCCAGGCATCCCCAGTGCCCCTGGCAATTGTTTCTCCTCTGGCACGCCCTAGCTGGAGACTGTGCAGACTGAGGAGCTTAAACAAGGATGAAATGCTGCTTTAATCATTCAGCATAGGGAGGCTCAGGATCTAACTCATAGTTTTCTAAGAAAAAGTACGCTTTCCACCCAAAAGAAAGGCGGTTTTTATTCTACTGAGGCTCTATTATGGGGAACCATATGCAGACACTTAACTCCTACCCACGAGCTTACTCACAACTGACCAGATGCTGCTCAGTGTCTGTGGATCTGCTTCTGCATCTTCACCTGCAGGACAACTGGACTTCTCCTGCCCCTGGTCACAAAGATGCTGGGCAGCACTCTTTCTATGGCTGCCACCAGGTACTTCCAGGGACCCATGAGGTAGCATATCTTTACCTCCAGGTTAGATTTGAAAGGACATCCCAAAGCACTTTCAAAATGTGCTTATGTTGAAGTTAAAGTAACATAATTTGTCATGTCACTTAATATTTAACCTCACAGTTATCGACACCAACCAACACTTCTGGGGCACATAACTCCAAACAGTAGGCCCAGGCGAGCCCAGGACTGGCAGTAATGACAGAATGACAGCTCCAGTTATGTTCAGGCCTGTGACTGGGGTGATGAGTTCCTGCTCCCACAGGATGACAACCTGCTTAGGGGTAGTATGAGTGGCACATGGGGTTCTGAGCTCTACATGGCTGCAGTAGGAGCTTTTGCTGAGGCTTGGTGACAGGAACCAAGGCACCAAAGTGCTGGGTCTAGGCTGCACCTGAACGCTCCCAGCATTTAGCAGATGTCACTACAGTAGAGCACTTGACAGTGCACTCAGCATGTGACAGACACATCAGCTTGTGGGAAGACCAACCCTTTGAGGACGTCATGGCCAAGGAGACACATTCAGGTACTAAGCTCCGATTCCCTACTGGAGTCACATGAACCTCCTCCATGGCTATGAAGAGCTCCAAACCAAAAGACCAGAACTATCTTGGAATCACCTCAAATGAGGAAAATTCTAGATTTCTTTTTTGGTTAATTCACAAATAACTCTTTAAACATGCTACTTTCTAAGGAAAGAGCAAACCCTAAGTAGTTTGCCAAAGTTGAAAGAACTTATGAAAACTTTAGCTGTGGTTTTCAACATAATTCTTTCAAGTGGTGCTTTTTGACATCGCTATGTTTCCTGTCCCCAGGAATCAATTCCTGCGAGAGGACCTGCAGCGGGGAGCAGCCATGCACTGAGCCCCACTCACTCCCAGCTGGGCAGGAGCCATGAGCCGCCTGGACAGCAGGGTGGGCCAGTCACCAGGTGAGCAGCTTGTTCCTCTCCCCCAGGCTGCTTCTCACCTGCTGGAGATGAGAAAGGACCACAGATCTGAGGCTGGATGGGAGCAATCAGCTTTTTCCCTTCTTCCTAAAACATCTGAAACAAATTTTGCACTGACTGTGTACTTTTACAACTATGTCTCCACATCACAGAGGATAGGACCTCCTGTTACACGTGGCTTTCTGCATGCTAATTCTGCCTACCGGGATATTCAGGGTTGGCGGAGGCAGGAGGTCTGCCTCGTGAGATCTCAGCAGGACTTTGTCAGTGGGGAGGATACACAGGGTCCAGATGTGCCTAATGACCTCCCAGAAGGTGGTCACTTACCTGGTCCCTCAAAGGGCAAGAGTTTAGGTGGCACAGGGTCCTTAGCACTCAGTGGGATCAAGTAGAGGTCCTTCACATGCCTGTTGTTATTAGCTACAACCCCAAAGCGGCCACGGCTGCTAAAATAGGAGTAGAGAGAAATGTAGGCAACCTCTTCCTCCTCTGTTGCCGGGTGGAAACGAATCAGACAGAGCTCCTGCAAGACAGAGCAAAGGGTAGAGCCTTCACCGGGGCTGCCCCAGTACAAGCACCTATTAAAGGCTATGCCTAAATTTCAAATGCAGATCTCAAAAAGGGAGGCTTTAGCAATTCTGTGATTTTCTCAGTCCCCTGGTTCAGTGTGGGAAAACAAAGCCTCAAGCTTCAGACTGCCAGAATGAGAACTCACTTTCAGCACTAGGAGCTCTTTAAATTCCTTCCCCTCAACTTCAATCTCACAGGGCTCTCAAAGCAGTGAGGGGATCTGTGTGCAGGAACAGCCAGCAGTGTGCCACACAGAGGAAACTTCACCTCCAGAGATCAGGACAAATGGCCTTTGGGACCTGCAGAGGGGTCTGGGTATCTCCCTATCAGAGGGCAGATGTGCATGGGAGGGTCAGTCCCTCCAGGGAGCCTGATGGCAATGACAGACACCCTTACTCCCCAGGAGGAAGCCACACACTTGACACCTCACAGCCACAGCTTCTTCTCAGGGTTCCAAGAATACCAAAGCTGGCTCACAGCGTCAGGGGAGCAGCCGATGCAGACTACCTACACACTCCCCTCTCCTCCCGCCGTCACAAGAAGGTAAGGCACAGTGCACATCTTCTTACTAACCCCAACTGTACACACATTATCTATCACTGTACAGCATTACTCACCCTAAAGCAGAATATCTATTAGATAAAACATTCTTAGTATGTACCATGTTACAGGGTGATAATTCAGTGTTAGCCCATCAAGAGAGGGCACAGAAAGACAGACGGAAACTCTCTGCCCCTGGGCAGAGGCCGGGCTATGGCTGCAGATACCTTAGACACGGAAGACTTGAGCTTGCCGACATAATCCCACACTGTCTTCGGAGCAATCCTCCCACCGATGTGGATCGTATCCGGCAAGTCCTAAACAGGAAGCACTCAGAGTAAATGACCAGGGAAGCTGTGATATTTACAGAGGGACTAACAGGGAAATTTTAAGGCACAAAACCAGCCAAATCTCAAGAAAATCACAACTAATTCAGGGAAAATGTACATAATTTTATTAAATGCTGACTGGTTAATTACCATGGAGGATAGGAGTGTCCTAACCTAAAGGTGGTAGGATAACCACCCGTGCCCAATGGGATCACGTTCGGAAGCTACTGCTTCAAGGTTTTATGTTCCACTTTATGGATACACAGTAATGATTCCAGCATTAGCCAGGTGGACTGAACAGCTACTGCTGGCTAAGATCACACCTAGTCACTTCAGACTCCTTTTGAAAAATAGGAGATCTGTGAAGGTGTTGAGGCATGTTACACACACCTGGTGATGCTTAGAGCATACTCATTAGGTAAAGCCCTAAAAACAACCAGAATGCCTGAGCCCCCAAATTTCTGCCACACTGCTTTCTTTACCTCCCACCTCACCTCAGCTACCTCTCCTTCACCTTGAGAGGTGCTGACATATCAGGACACACCTTGCTAAGTGTCAGGTGCTTACAGAAACTCCTAGGACACACACACACACGTGCGCGTGCGCGCGCGCACACACACAAACACGGCCTCGGTTCTAACCTCACTGAGATAATCGAAACACCCAGAGACGGGATATGCCTTAGTGACAAATTTGGCTACACTCTGCATGTTAATAAATCCTTTCCAAATGGTGTTGAGGCGAGACAAAAAGAGAGTCGTGTCTCCTTCTGGGGGAGATCGTGTCTCTGAGGCACTGTAAAACAAAACAATAAAAAAATGTTAATAATCTCTTTTTGTACAATGGGAATTACAAGAGTATAGACTTTCATATTTAGAAGCAACAGTGAGATAGTTTCCTTTAAGTTCGGCAGCTTACTTTTGCCAATAAACTATGTTCATTGCAATAAATTAGATATATATACTTACACAAAGAAGCCAAAGAGCTAACAAACCTAGATGACCATAAATTCAAATTAAAATTTTCAAGATTTGTGGCTCACTGGGCATGGTGGTGAACAACTGTAATCGCTACACTGGAGGAGAGGCTGAGACAGGAGGATCTCTGTGAGTGCACGATCAGCATGAACTACATAGCAAGACCCGTCTCAAAAAATAGAAGCTCTGTGCCTCCAAAATGGTACAGTATGACCCTAAGAAGTCACAGTTCAGAGTGTGCGGCCTCAGCTAGTCTTGGATTTTTCCTTAGAACCTATTTAATAACTGTTTCCGAAAACCACTGTAATTTCACAGATACCGCAAGTATCCCCTGCAATTGATTTTTTTGGTGGGAGGCTTGCAAGTAGCCAATCTGAGAGGATTATTCAGTTCTCCTTGCTGACTGGCTGTTGCCCTGTAACCTTCCTCTGGCAGATGTACCAGCATCTGCATCATAACAGGTTGCTGTACTCCATGTAGCTATCTCTGATGTTCCCAGTTTTGTTTTTCCTAAAGCCCTAAGATTCCTAAGGTGCTGCCAAAACGCACTGCATCTTCTTTATTTTGTTTTTTTTTGGTGCCAGGGATTGAACTCGGGACACTGCACTTGCGAGGAAGGCGGCAGAACCACTGAGCTACATTACATCCCCAGCCCCGCACTGCATCTTCTAAGGCTTTATTATTTATTAATACAGCATTTTACTAAATTACATAACTACAGGACATAGTGTATTTAGGATTTAAACTATAAAAATAGGCATTTACAGGCATTTTTCTGACTATAGCCGAAATCTGGTTTTTCACAATTTGTGGGTGCTCGAGGAATGTAACCCTTGTGTATTTTAGAGATCCACTGTAATTAGGCAATCTCAAAACAAAGCCTTTTTAGGCTACACAGGTGTGAGGTTGGATTTCGGAGTAAATCTCAGACCTGAAGTATTTCATCACCTCCTTCCCCTTGTTCATCTCGAAACAACAGGACCCCAGCCAGCTCCGACCCCGTCTCACATACCCACCTGACACTTGGTGATGGTGGAACTGACAGATGCCTGGGGTCAGAAGACGAGGACGGCTTAGCAAGTATGGACTTGGGCAGTGTCACAGAGGGCAGTGTGGGCTTTAGCAGGTCTGGCTTGGCTTCAGGCATGTGGGTGCTGTCCGGGTGGGCACAGGACCCGCCCACAGCAGTCCTGGGGTCTCGGCCTGACACCGTGACCGTGGTGACCACCCCAGCCCCGCAGGAAGCTGGACAGGGAGAAGAGCTTTCTGTCAGGGAGGGCCCTGGATGGCTGTCCTCTGGAGGCCCAGGGACACACTTTCCCTCTGGCGTTGGACCAGACGCCCTTTCCAGGTCTGGCTCCGAGGCATTTTCTGGCAGAATCTCTGCAGAGCCTTCCTCAGACAAGTGAGGAACTGGATCAGGTAGAGAGCTGTCGGGCTTGGGCTTTAGGTCTTCTTTCTTAACAGAAGTTGATAATTTTTGTTTTTTAGGAGCTGGTTCATCTTCTGACAGAACTTGACCTGAGGAATGTGAAGACAGACTCGATGAGAAACCCAGCACCCTCACAGCTTGTGGTGAGCAGGTACTGGGAATCGAACACAGGGCCTTGCACTTGCCAGGCAGGCACTGCATTGCTGAGCTACATCCTTGGCCCCAGGCACTGACTTCTTAAAGGAATCAGAAGCACAGGATGAAGGTAGGGCAAACTTCAGAAAACCACTCCTGCCTTGTTTGTCTTAACGTGTGCTGAGTATTATCACTTTTGGGAAGATACATCATTTCAGAATCCTCAAAATTTGTCTGATTTCCAAAGTTGTACCCTAGGTCAGGCTCACCTGTACAAATTTTACAGTTTAGATCAAAAAGATGGGCCCGGTGCTGACTCGTTGTGTCTTCCAACATGCTGCTGAACACATCGAGAAGGGGGGCTGTGCTTTTCTCAGGGGCAGCTCGTACGGATTCCTGCTGCTCCTAAAGGTGACAGAAAAAATGACCAGGTCATTTCCTTTCCAAATCATTTCCAAATGACGGCACATAGGATGCAGTCTCACTAGATTAAGAACCACTGCTAAAGAGAGAACACTGACTGCAGGTACTGGGAACCACTGCAGCTAGATGCCCACAGGCACCTGTTTCCAGTTCCATGTTTTAAGTGCAGACCCTGGGAGCCTTTGGAAGGAGCTGACCTCACTCTCCCTGTAATCACTAACATCCCAGGGCTCACATCTGAGTCTGACACAGGTGGAGAGTCCTCCATGTCAGGAATGGTTTCTGGCTTCATGGCAGCCTTCTTGCTTTCATTCTGCAGTTTACTTCTGGACTCCATTACCTGAAAGGAGAAAAATAACAAAGTCTTCAGCCCCAAACTCTAAGCACAAACCACATTTCCCTGCAAGCAACAGATTATTAACTTATGGAACAGTTGAGCTTCCATGGACTCAAGCTACCATTTGCCATCCGTACTCACAGGTTTCGTTGGCTTCTCTTTCCACATAGAAAGTTCTTTAGACACAAGTTCTTCTGGCTTCATTCTCACAAGTTTTGCCAAAGAAATTTCTTCACGCAGAACTCGATGGAAGAGTCCCTATAAACAAATAACTTTCAGTCAGTAATTCAAAAATATTGATGAGCACCTGCAAACACCAACATGCACAGATGTGGGTAAGCAAAGCAGCACAAGTCCTATCAGAGGGCAAGGGCCATAGGCACAGACCCTAAGTTTTGGACAGAGGGCAGCACTGGGCCACACCCTAGAAGGGAGACCCCATCCAGCTCCACAAGAGCCTGTCAGCCTCTCAGAAGGAAGCATCAGCTGGGCCCAGCTGAGAGCTGACTTCAAGGCCATGAAGCATGGACTGGGCAGAACATCCAACAGCCTCAGGAAACAGATCCCAGACTCAAGGTGGAAGACAATTCAAAAAGGGTGTTAGGAAGAAAGCAGGAAATCCATCCCTTAGGCCAGGGCTTGCTGACCATGGAGTGGTGCAGCCAGAACACTTGATCCTGATCCTAAAACACAGGCAAATAGCACTTGAGTTTTGTGGGGAAAGATGCATAGAAAGGTACAAAAAAAATGCATCCACTACTGCAGTCCAAATGTTGTCCAGGATGAGTTGATACATGTAACAAGATGATGATACTTAAGAAAATATGTGATGGGGGTAGTACTGATAATCATTACAGCTGATTCTAAGACTAATGCTTTGAAAATTAGAAAGCATAGGCCCTATGGAAAAACCCAGCTATATTGATTCAATATTCCAATCTTCATGCTATTTCAAGACAGGTTTTTTTCCCCCCCTGAAAAGAACCTATCTTGAGAATATGGGGTCCAGAGCCAAACATACATACTCCTTTGAAGGTCTGGATCATGCTTGTTTAAATTGTTAGCAGAACATTATGGAATATAAAGAACTATGTTTAAATTACATTAATGTTAGTAGAACATTAAAAGATTGACTCCACAAGTTTCATTTTAGTAAGGGTTTTGTCACTTTCAAGAGATACATAAATAATACATGGGTAAGGATTCAGAGGTGAAGGAGAGAAACCCAGACACCCTTGGGGGCAGGTGGTAGGAATGGCTGAAGCGGACTTCTCCAGGGTGGTTCACATCACATTTTAAGGAAGCCTCAGCTGAAGAGGGATGTGCATGTGATTTTATGGCAACATTTAGAAAGATTCATCTAGTAAGCTGGATAGGTGGTGGGAGCACCAATGAGATCCCTGACAGTACTGCAGGTAAAGAGGAAAGGATCCATGAATGGGGAAAAGTGTATCAATGCCTCTAAATACTGGGTCCAGTGTATTATGTTACATAGCTGACAGGAAACAGCATGTGCATCACCCCACCAGGAATGATCCCACATACACATGATAGTTCACACACCTGATTTTTAGGATCCTTGAGGTTGAACATGATACTGCGGTATTTACTCTTGTAGCGATTATCTGTTACTTGAAACAAGTTAAACATCTCCTTCTCAATGTGGAGGGCAATTTTTCCCACTTCATTTTCCGTCATGATTAAGTCATCACTGTCATTGACTCTGAACAGAATGAAAAAAGGGACCAAGTAAAGCACTTGGTATGTGTATATGTTTCATTTTCTTAAATGGTGGAACAATCCTGACATGACGTTATAAATGAAAACCCTCACTTCCACAGGTTAAGACACAACGCTGAACAGCCCACCTTTTCCATAAAATCTCTTTCAAGGAGCGTCTTATATTTTGCCGTATTTGTGAATTTGGTTGTGACTGGGCCGAGCCTGTGCCCCCGAGGCGTCCTGTGGCTGGAACAGTTGTGGGGGCAGAAGTTGCCGCTGGCTTCCTTATGGATCCGACCAAAGCAGCAGAGCCCAGTGCCTTTTTGGAAGCAGCGACCATAGCAACAGGAATTGGTCCAGCTTGCCTGGCAGCTGAGGCACCTGATGGGGCAGGCAAGAGCCAGGGCCTCTTGGGGATGGGGCCCCTGAATCCTGATGGTGATTTTTTAACAGCTGGTTTGGCTCCTGCCATGTTAGTGAAAGGAGGCAGCTTCTTTGGAACAAGAGTTCTGGACGAAGGCTGCCTGCCCACCGAGGAGCCTGGAAGGGCTGTTTTCTTCGGGCCTGTGGCTGCTCCCACCGCTCTGTCCTCCACTCTCCTGTCGTCCTTCACGGCTGCAGAGCAGAGCACAGGGACACTGGGTGAGACGGGCCAACACGAGAGTGCTGCCACCTGCCTCTGAGCACAGTCAACACTAAGTTCTAACGTACTTTCTGAGCATCACTAAAATGCACTCGGATTAAAGAATTTTAAAATCTTAAAATTCAGAAAAGGAGGTTGACTAAGGCTAGGCAGAAGTATTTATGATAGTCACAATTTATTTCAGAACTGCTTGATTATATTACTCCGTTAAACATTCTGTCTCAACTCCTAAGCTTATAGGGCTCCATTTTATCACGAAGTTGTGAAACTGAAGGACAAATCCCACATAATTAAAAATAATTTTAAAATATCACTTTCACAAGGAACTCAAAGACAAACTTGGTGAAGCATTGTTTCAAAAATTTTGTCAGAAAGGGGAAATGGGGCTGGGGATTTAGCTCAGTGGTTCCGCCTGCCTTGCAAGATCCCAAGTTCAATCCCTGGCAAAAGAAAGGGGTGGGGGGGAGATGGACAAGTCTTCCTTCCATGCACAGACAATCCCAAGGGCCGAGGAGGCTGTCAGCAGCATGGAAGTCACATGTCACTTCACTGTTTTTGTGGACAAGCCAACCAGAGACAGTATTTTCACACCAAGAAGCAGATGCTGAGAACACAGTGAGGCCATTCTACAGATGTCCACACACACAACTCTGGAGCTGAGATTTTCTCACTGTGATGAGGTGACAACTTGGTGTTTTTAATTCAAATAAGAACTGCCATTAAAACTCCCCAACTTCCACAAAAACCTCTCCATGTTAGGACAGAATCAGTTATATCAAAATCCTGTGTGGGAGCACTACTCCCAGTCATGTCTAGAAACAGGGCCCAGTGAGCACAGCAGTTCTGCCTGCCTCCCTGGTACCCTTCCGGCACAGAAAATGCCTCCTCTAGGGAGCTTTCTATTTCAGCACCCTGCAGCTCCAAGCCCACAAACCCTATATGGGGGTCAACAGGTGCTGCAACCACGCCTGTAATGTGACCAGGGATTAAAAATTATCAGCCATTCTTTGATCACCATGCCAATGACTATTCCCCATATACCAGGGAGGGTTGAAAACTCCAAAGAGCTGTGATTCCACCTGCAAGCAAGGCCTGGTGCCACAAACTGCTCCACAGTGGTTCTGAGACCAGGGGATGCAATGCAGCCTTGTCATAGACATGGCTGTGTCCACAGGAGCTGAGGGCACTAGCCTTTATCCAGCAGTCTGCAATGCTTCCATGTGGCCAATCCACCAAGTGTCAGTAAAAGGCTAGGGCTGTCAGTTTCCCTAACTTTGTAAGATAAAAATAAATCTCTCAATTTTACCAAGTGTACAAAAGTACTATGTGGACACACGGTTTGGCAGTGTTTCAGGGATCAAGGCCATTTTAGGTTTTTGTAGCCCCAAACACCCACAGTGTGGGTAAAAAAATTTATCTTCATTTCATACCACAGGACAGCTCCTTGCCAAAGACCTCTGTCCCAGACCTGTGCCCAGAAGCATTTCCAACTCCCAGCCCCCAGGTGGCTTTGGTGATGTGCACACTATGCTGGCCCCATTCATCCACAGCCACATCTCTGGAGCTTCCTCCTGAACAGAAGGAAGAGGAAAAGCCCCGAGGGACCTGGATTTGTACACAGTGCACTTCAAAGTAATGGCAATGTCTGACGAGGAAGCAGGAACACAACCGAACACTGCGAAAGTACTTTTACTGTTCAGGACACTTGGGTTTTACATTATGACATGTAAAACGCACATTCAACTTGTAACTTCCTGCCATTATTACAGTATATCAGAATACAACCTTTTCTAAGTGACAGAGCACGTGGTGATTCTGCTTGTACAGTCGCTGTACTTAAAATCTGGACATTTATTCCTAACAAGAGTTAGCCCACAGGCTCTGTTGCAGTTTGGGTTAAAAACAGTGGAGTGTACTCTTCTTAGGGGGCAGCCCTGCCCTTTCAGACCACAGTGAGGAGGAAGTGCTGTGACAACAACCCGAAGAGTTTTGAAGAGAGCAGGGGCATAATAAATCTACACTAGCTGTCAAGAGTGATGAACCTTACCACCAGCCAAAAAGCCAGCCTCCTGGCAGTCACAAAAAGCACATACCTGTCACAATTGAAGGGGAGGACAAAAACCTGTTCCACCATTGCTTTTAGATACAGAAACTTTTGAGAATTTGATATTGTACTGCTAACTCTAAACACTGGCCTTAGGCATTTTTCAGAGCCTTGACAAAACTCCTATACACCTGTGTGGTATGACCTTAAACCGTTAGCAACATTAATTTCTGCCTTGTTTCTGGTTACAAACATATGTGAGTTAAAAAACAAACTCCTATCTCTTGAAACCTTAAGCTGTAAAATGACATGTTGAAGGTGAGATCCAACCCTCTACTGATCTACCAGCATATCTGTCCTGAGGGAAAATCCAAGTTGAAAGTACTTCCAGGACATCCTCAGTACACGTGACTAAGGGCATCGATTACCATGGAATGGTCATATACCTGAATGGCATCCACTACAGCAGGCATGGCTCCCTAACCAGGTTGCAATTTTATAGACCAGTGCCTTCTGCCATCTTAAGGCCAACTTCTGTGACCCCTTGCCTGGGCTTCCAGTAGTACACAGGTATAATTACAGAAGCACACAAATTGGCCAAACAATCCTTACTAGTGGATGTTGAGAAATCTGCCTCAAGTTCACCCGTTGCTAGTGTGTTGTTATATCAAGGCCTCTCGTACTTTAAAGGGAGGTGTTAAAAATACACACAGTTCTACACAGCAAGTGCTCCAGGGCCCTCACACATCTCCGTCCCCTTGTGGAAACCAGAGTGCTGGTAATAGGCTGGGTCAACTGCTGCTAGAACGGCAATGACAATGAGAAACTTGTTTTCTTTTTTAAGTAGAACTTCAAAGGAATTTCCAAAATTCTCATCCAAATTGTGCTCCGTTGCTGATGATTGAACCCAGGGTCTTATGCATGCTAGGCAAGCTGCCGGTGAGCCTTAAAACTCAGACCCTAATTTCCCTCTTTACAGTATTATGTACTTGAAAATTCACAGAAGGGCAGAAAATAACAGCCCCCCCCCAACCCTTCAGAAAAACAGCAGCAAACCATTCAGAATATGACTGTTTGGAGCCTGTGCCACCTGCTGCTGAACTCTGCTGGTCAGCACTGCATTGTCCACGTAGCAGGCACTAGGCAGAAGAATCCACTGCACACAGAGGAGCAATGCTCAGTTCCCATACCCATGATCAACTCTCCTACAGAGGAGCCATTATGCCAGCATAGACTCCTTCAGCTCGCACGTCCTTGGCCTTGCTTGTGGGGAGGAAAAGTGCTGCTTCAGGAAGCATCACCAGCAGCCTAGGCCACTGCTCCAGGTGAAACTCATGCTGCCAGGTCTGGCCATTTGTTTGGAAATTCCATTATCTGGAGTTCAGTCCATTACAGCAGGCTGCTGTGCACAGATCAGTACCCAGCTGTAACTAGGTGTCTCATACGGGAAGGCTGACTGTGGCGCTATGCCATCACTGGTCATTGGGTGGCACTAGAGAGCCACAAAGGGAAAAGGGTGGAGAAAATCTGGCCTTCCCTGGAAAAATCACATCAATGTGTTTTCTTCAGAACTCCTACAATTGCCAAGATGGAAGCTGCAGCAGGACAAGGGGGTAGGGCCTCTGAAAGGTGCGTGAGACAAAGACTACACATCCCCAACTGCCCCAGACACCTATGACTGGTGGTGAGTGCTGTCCCCAAAGGGTCTTCACAGGCAGACTAGTGAAAACCACTGTGCTATGCACAGGACTTTCCTTTCCATCAGGCACTGATGGCCCTCCTCAGTTGCCTTAATCCTTGCCATGCATTACTGATGCAAGGACTCTGTCCATTCCCTCAATGGCATCTGCTCTCTCAGAGCCTGTGCACAATTTGGCTTTCGATTCTCAACTGTTTCTTCGGTGTTCTTTCCTACTGTGAAAAGTGAAGGTGACAGGCAGAAAATGTTCTGCTTCTGCTCCTTACTATAAGTTTCAAATGAATTATACATTAAAAAAGTGTAAGTTAATAATTTGCTTTTATATTGTACTAACATGAAACATGGAACAAGCACAGGTTACATGACAGAAGCTCCTGGGTAGATGGCCATTCTGACTGTAGTGTTTTGTAGACATCCACAGCCAAGTTGTTTTAGGGAATGAAAAAGGTTTCCCAGGCAACTTATAGTTTCCCAGTATTTTTGTGTTTTCAGTTTAATGGAGAGGTTCCTAACCCTACATAAGAAACTTGGATTGAAAAGAAAAAAAACCTGTTAAGTAAATTACCTTCCTTTGAGCAAGTTTCACATAGATTACCCTGAATAGTAAAGTAGTATAGTTCATGCTGGGTTGGTAACAGTACACAACTGGTGAAATTACACTTCAAAGTGAGCCACTCAACTGGCGTGTGATGAGGCCACGCTCATGTCCACTGTCTGCCCAGCCAAGGGGCCACTTGCATTGCGCTGCCAAACCCAAGACTCACAGGAAGTGACCAGCTGCTTCTCAGAGACTTTCCAGTCACCAGGAGGCACTACTGTGGTAATGTTAAATTTTAAGAAACATCACTTCGCTATTCCTGAGTTGTTTATTAACATAAATAGGAAGCAACCTGTTAAAATAGTCCACTTACCCTCCCCGGGAACCTCAGACCCAATGGATCATACTCAAATGTGTAAAACCACAAAGCGGATACCTGATGTAGACCCTAGGTGAGGAGTATGCTGCCCATTACCTTGTTTTTCTCACCAAGCTTTCAGGGTTGTGGCAAGATAAAGTTGCCTCAACCTTCACTGAAATAAATGAAGTAGGAAACATTCTCACTGATCTTCTAAGTTTACTTTGCTAACTTTCAGAAACTAAGAATTTAACTACATGCATGTTGATGGTAACAGCAACAAAATCCTAAGTATTTTACAAATGTATACAAATATACCTGAAGCTAGTGAGGAACTACAGCAGGCATCTTCAGAGGGGATCTTTGCACTTGATGACAACTGCAATGCTATCAAATTTTCCACGAGTATTAATCTTCAGGAAGTAACAGAGCAGATCCACAGCTCCAAAAAGTTGCAGGAAGGCCATTGGTAGGAGGTGAATTCAAAGACCAACCCCACCGGAAACTTCCACCCCTCTCACCCTTCCCCAAGGAGGCTGAGGGACACAGAGGTTAAAGGACTCAGAGGCCAGGGCAGCCGCAGGACAGACGGGAGGATAGTGCAGGATGGTGCTGAGAGGTCCACCTGGCAGGTTCAAGTTCGTAAAATGACCTCATTTTCTGAATAGGTTATTTTCTTTAAAATTATAAAAAGATAACACACTTCACAAAAATGATGTCATGCTGACAACGAAGATAATTCCAGCTATACTGATTGAAAAAGTTGTCAAGCTAAATCATTTAACCTGTATAAATTTTGATTTTTCATCAAAATGGGAGAAGACTGGTTTAGTTCCTCTCACCCTTATTTTATTGCCAATGACATCTCTTGATATAATGGCTATAATGGCTCATGTAGCTGGTATTTAAAACATCATTTTTAGATTTCTAAGAAATCTTAGATTCTAGTACCCCGTAGGTATTTATTATATGGAACTGGTTCCCCTTGTGATTTCACCGAAATGTGTGCTGGAGCCCACACTCTGAGTAAACCAGTGGAAACCCGTGTTCTCTGAAATCCAGTTCACCACACCATTGGGACCATCCGTGTGGTTATCAGCAAGAGAATTCTTCTACCTAGGTAAGGTGAACAGCAAATGGCTGGGAGCTGGATCTATAAGTGGTTGATTTTCCTTTTTAATTAGACAGATGAAATGCTTTCCCATCAAAATCTATGCAGATCCCCTGTGTTTTATGTCAGTTAATGATGATCCATTTAGGGAAACCAAAATGCTATAAATCGTGTCTATAAATATCAAAATTCCATTTATAAATGGGATGGAACCAAAAATGTATTACAAAACATTCCCTGACAAGAAATAAAATGCTGATTGGCATAAACTCAGAAAATTGTACACAAATCCTAGAAAGTAATGGTAAGGAGTGAATCACAGGCACAACTGTGCGTGAATCATATCACCTGGAGAACGGGAAGGAGCAGCAGAGCTTCCTGTGCAGTTAGGTCCACACACCTGCCCATGTCTACCCTGATGGCAACACCAGGGATGTGGGAGCAGGATGTGGCTGAGGCACCTCCAGGAGCAGCTGTGGCAGCTTGGGTCTGCCATGTGGTTCTTCTCAGACACGTGAAGCCGTAGGTGGATCAGCCCCCAAGAAAGTGGACTGGAAGCATTCCCAGTTGTCTTCCCTCCAAGCCTCATCACCCCGCCCCTGCCCTAGTTGAAGTGAGCCGGGAAGGCAGGGCTGGGGGCTGTGGGTGCTGCCCGTCCCAACCCTGCCCAATCAAGTCCGGGGGAATGTGCTCTGGTACCCAAAGATGAGGAAATGTTTGGGGCAAGAGAGGTAGACATGGTACCGCTATTTGGATTGCTTTACCAATCACTCTACTGACCTCCCAATCACTGAGAAAATGACATTTCTGGGAAAAGAGAAATTATCAGAAGCAACCAGCTCCATGTTTGTCCCTTATGGATGTTGTAGTCTGGATGTCCATCAATTCTGAGATGTGTATGTGCTGGGAAGATTGTCCACTTGTTCATTTATCCCAACTTCCTGCCACTGGAGCCCATGACCTCCACTGAAGTGCCAGTGTGCAGAGTAGGACAAGTCAAAGCCAGACCTCCCACCTCTATACACAGAAACTGACCAACCGGTTGATCCTCTGAGCTCCTTCTGTTCCTCCCTCCCTGTATGCACAGGACACAGCAACTGACTGTAGATCTCACATTCTCACCTTCACCACCAGTGTTCCCTCCCCAGCACACAAGGTCTCAACCCCCTTTTGGAGTTTCAGGGATGGTTTTCCACTCTGAGGGATGAGTTGGATTGAAACCCGGCACTCAGGTATCTGGGCTGTGGTTAAACCCTCGGTATTTCCTTCTTGTATTATGTGCTTATCCTCAACTTAAAGCACTTAGCCCCCTACCATCAAGTGGCTGCCCTCTACCCATTTACACATAGACGCTGCTCATTTCTGTGTATTTGTCAGCTTTACAGATGTACTATCTTAGAGCTCTATAACTTGACATGCTAGCCATCTGCTAGCATGAAATTTGCTCCTTAACCCACCTAAGGTGTATTAAGGTCCACCAGGATGCAGCAGTTGGTTCATTCAACTTAATTGTGATTCCACTTCCTGTCTTGGGACTTGGGATCGCAAGTTAACCATATGACATCTGGCACCTACCTGCATCAGCACCTTCCTCTCATATGACGTGCTAAAGGCCCAAAGAAAGGAAAATACAGTACAGCTGTACTCTTGGAATGTAAGGCTATTTAATCTATTGGTGCTTTCAAAAAGGGACAACATGAACTGTGCAGAGCATTAATAAAAATAGAAATAAAAATCAGAGTAAGATGTTCCCTGGGGATTCTAACATAAATGTCTATGACATATCACTGGAATATGAGGCTGAGAAACAAATCCAAGTTGCATGGTCTAAGCTGGGGTTTCACACATGAACCCAAGTGTCTTCATTTCATTCACTTGAAACCAGGGGCAGTGTAACAGTCTAAACACTCCAGAGGAGAGCCAGGAAGCCACTGCCCTTGTGACCCCAGCCCACCAATCTCCCTTTAGTGAGGACAATGTTCTCAGTGTCAATGGTGCCATGTTCACTCACTGTGGAGTGTGCACAGCACCAACAAATGGCTTTCAAGATTTTAATGTCTACTCATGTGGGTGTGTAGTATGTCAACTAGATGAGAAGACAATCTCTCCCTGCAAGGTCAAAAATTGTTAACTCCTACAAGTTGTACCAAAGCTACTAGATGCAACAGTAATTTGCAGAGATGCCTGCAGCATTCCAAAGTAGTGGTGATTTTATGTGCAAAAAGTAGTAATGTGGGAAAACACAAGTTCTATGCATGGCTGTGATTAAACTAACTGGTGTTTCAATAGTGTTGAATATGGAGACTGGGCTAAGTACAAAGATGCAATCCCATTTTGCTGGAGCTAATGTAGGTACTTACCAGAGCCTCATCTTGACTGAAGCTAGATATTAAAGGACTGCACCACCGCAGTAAGCCATTTATCAGGCAGGCTCATGCAGCTCTTTGGAAAACACCAAGAAGAATGGTCACAGGCTAAGGATGGACAACCAGGTTCTGGAGAGATGTTGGACATGGGCATTTGCTTCCAACTGATGCTGACCTGGTCTCCAACATCAGCACTAAAACACAGCTGTGACTCCCCGTCCTGTTCAGGCCCAGGTGGCTATCCGGAGAGGGTAAGAAGGGACCAGAGGGGCAAACCCTCGGAGATACCTACATTTACAGAACCGTGGTGGGGAGAGTGCAGCAGTATTCTCTGGCTTCACTGCATTGTAGTTGTGGTCGCTGGCCCAGGAGGGTGTGCTGCTCTCACAGGCTGCCTCCTTCCCCACTGTGTCACTCCTAGGAGGAGTCACCATCACTTTCTTCGCCGCATTTTCTTTTCTCTCTGGAGCAGGCTTCTTGTGTATAGAGATTTTAATCCCTGCCTGGATAATTAGTGAAAACCCAATCGTTAAAGAGGCCAGAAATGACACCTTTGTCTCCTTTCACAGAGCAGTGAGCGTCATGACACTCTCCTCTTCGGGTCACCTTAAGACACCTCCTGACTGATCCAGGGGTTGCACTCTGCAGTTGTTAGTGTATGCATCCCCAAAGAGCATGCAGGATTTTAACTATTTCAACTATTCATGAATGAATGTCCCTAAAGTGACATTTTCTATTACTTTGCTGATGTATGAGCCTGCCAAGATAACACAAAATGTGAGGCAAGAGAATCAAACCAACAGCACAGTGGAATGGGCCTCTGTGCGAATGTGAGGACGTGCTGAGTACCAGATGAAGAAGGGAAGGTATTTGCATATCTGGTTCTCAATAAAGTCTGAAATTTGGATACTAAGGCAGGATCCCAGCACTCTTAGCTATGCTGTCCCCTTACTGTGTGCACCAGCCACTGCTCTTAGGCAGTTCTTGGATTCAGAATGACCATTCTTAAAAAATCAAGCCATCTAAAGCCTAAGCAAGCAATTGACAATAAACTAGAGATCATGGAATAGCAACAGGTACAATTTGCATGTCCCAAACAAGACAGGTCACTGACGGTCATTTCCAGATAAGCCTCAAGAGTAACTTCCTGGTTTCTCCAAATCACTGAGTAGAAAAATGAGGCAATTATGAGAGCTACTTTATATGAAGCATACCCCTAGCAAGAATCTATTCCACCCAAATTGTCCTGTGATTCATCTTTGCACACAAAAAACGGCTACGACTGGCCAGACTTGGGTGTGTATCCTGATGCCTTAGTTGTCCAGGGAAGCCAGTTGTCTATGCTGCTTTGCAGCATTCAACTTAAGTAGGCCCTCAGCTCAGGGCCGAAGACCACAACAAGAAGGTGATATGATCTGCAAGACAGCAACACCTGCTGCGCCCTAAATTCCTTCACTAAATTTACAGAAGCACACGGGAGAAGCACTATAATATACTCTTTCCCTTAAAGATTTTAATGGCAACTGTGGGGAGCTTACCTGAACACTACATTTTGGAAGACTGAGTTTTTCTGGCTTCATCTTGACTTTCTCCTTAGGCTTTGGTTTTTGTTCTTTACCTGAATTTAGATTTCTCATAGTAGCTGCTGCATGTTTGAGAATGCAGTCATTACTGCAGTACACCGATTCAGGCTGTGCCACACTGGAGCACCCAGGACCGATGCACCTTGAGGCGCTAGGTGTTTCCAGGACCTGCAGAGCCAAATGAATGACTTCAAACAATGGATGTGGCAATGTCAGCAGAAAAAGCACTTTTTCGTGGCACAGCTGCAGGAATAAAGTGAGGCTTTTCTTTTTTTCCGGCTATGGGGAAATGAACTCTGAGCCTTTGCACTGAGCTGTATCTCAGCCCTTTTCTGTACTTTTTGAGACAGAGTCCCCCAAAGATGCTCAACTGCCTAGACGGGGGTCACACTTGTGATCTCCCTACCTCAGCCTAAGAGTGCTGGAGTTACAAATGTGTGTCATCATGCCCAGTGCCCAAGGCCATGGTTTTCAGCTAAGGGACAATGACAGTAACACACAAAGTACTCTTAACATTCTGTACCGGGCAGGACACTAAGGTGGCCCTTGTTTTACACGCTTTGCACATTTCTTCCCCTTCAGCATGAGCGTCAATGAGGACACAGTGGGATTTCATACCCATGCCCTCTGCTGCTTCCACCAGGGACCAAATGTGCAGATTCCAGTGAGATAATCTGGAGCCAAAATGTTCAGACTTAATGAGATTCTTCAAAGAGGGACAGGATCTTTCCCAACAGGAGATTCCACATGTGGTGTGAAATAAGCTGCCCTGATTGAGAGTAGGGTCACCCTTGGTTAGGACAGGAGAGGAAGGATGCCAAATGGAACACAGGATGCTCACTTAAGAGTTTCAGGTAATCAATTAATAACCTATTATCTCTATGCCACCAAAATTTCAGGGGACATACATTAAGCAAGGTGATGGCTTCCTGGAGGAAAGTGTCCCCAACAGAGCCAATGACAAGACCACAAGCCCAGCTGCACTCTGACTAAAGTCTTTGAAGACCCCGAGCAGAGGGCTCAGTTCAGCTGGGCCAGGCTCTAACCTAGGGATACTGGGAGCTGTGTGTGTGTGATTTGTTACACATCCAACAGCAAATTAGGACACCAGCACACAATTACTCAAGTATGTTTGATGGTCAAGATTAAACACACCATGTCCATCCCTCAAATACACTCAAGCAAAACAGTTAAACATTTAGCATAATCAATTCCCGCTAATGAAATGAAGTTTTACCTAGTGTAGCATATATGTTTATGTCAAACATTGGCAATAAGGACATGAAATTGATGACTTCCCATTAAATGTGGTATTACCAGTTGATACCACATTTTCACGTCTTCTCTTAACATGTCCACACGTGGCTTAATGTGGCCAAGTCCTCAGATACTCTTACCATGCAGCTCACACAGGGCGAGAGCATCAAGATAGAGATGCTTAGACATACAACCACCTTCACACTTGCTGGAAGACAGGATGGGGGGCAGGCTAGGGACCCAGGGCCCAGGGAGACTGAGTCAGCCTCTCACACAGCTGGAGACACACAAGGCAGCTAATGGTCTCCAATGTGACAGAGAGCGATGGCTTCAGGGAAGCATCCAAACAGGTGGGGAGGAAAATGAATAAACAGCTGCTAGGCAAAGAAATGAGGTACTGAGTATAAGGACTAGGGTGTGTTCTGCCTACACACATTTTACCAAGAACCTATACAGAAAGGCAAATTTTTAAAAATATGCTAAGGACAGTTAGGAGGGCAAAAAGGTCTTTTAAAAAACATGCTGTTAGAATGCTGTGATGTGAAGACAGGATTCAAGTACAGAATGCTTTCCCGACAGGGCCCACCCCACAGCACACTGGCACTTGGCCTGGCAAAGCCTCATTTATTCAAAAGGGAAATGCATTCCTAGTCTTAGTATTTCTATCAGCAGCAAGTCTAACATCAGTAAGGCCACCCCACCTTTGTGCTCACCTTGGTAGATAAATACTTACAGGCTGGAATATCTTGAGTTTTTTCTTGCCACTGGGGTTTGCGGCTTTCTCAATTCTACCCTTGATCCCCTGATCTTCACTAGACTTTTGCTCTACTGTCCCTATGCTGGTGCAGTCTGTGCCGTCCACACTTGCAGGTCTGTATCTAGTTTCCTGCTCATCAGTGGCTTCTGCATTCGTATCCTCCTGCACTTGCAGAATGGTACAGTTTGGGCAGATGTAATCTTCCCCATTCCTCTCCAAGAGACGCCCTCGAGCCTCAGAAATTCCCACGCAGTCGCCATGGAACCACTCCTCACAGCGGTCACAACAGATCATAAACCTAAAATGAAAAAAGTATGGAATAAGGAATGAGAAGGGAGTGATGACCATCATTTCCCAACACACTGCAAGCCCAAACTGCATTTAATGTTTTATTATGAATAAAGTAAAAAAGTACTGAGTTTAATTCCCACTCAATCATATTAGTTTCATTGCTGTTTTGACCAGAGAGCTTTAAGAGTGAATTAGAGGCTTTCGTGTGTATCTCCACCCCACAGCAGTAATACCCTTATCCCCCTGACAAACCCATACACTAGCAGCACCTGGCACCTAGTCCACCCTAGCACTGGGTCCAGTTAGGTCCCAAGGAAATGGGCAGAGCCTCTCTCCCATAGGATCTGGGATGGCAGATGGGTTTTCACCACCTGCACAGCAGCCAGTTGTTACATGTGGCTCCTGCGATTTGAGGTAGTGAGCTCTTCCTCTCATTCCCTGTTGGACACCACTATGTAAATGGCACCATGAAGAGGATGGGGAGAGGCAGCCCTTTCCACACCTGGACTTGTGCATCTTTATCAATTAAAACAACTGCTAATCCAGTCCAGTCCGGAAATCTGTTACTATCCAAACAAATGGGCAACTCTCTACCCATTTTCATGCCTGGCTTTTCACTAAGAGTGAGCACTACCTCCCCTCCCATGATTTTGACCCACCTGTTATTGTGAGGCTGGCGGCAGATGCAGTACAGGGCATTGGGGTCATAAACCTCACAATCAGGTTTAGGTTTGCCCATGTCCCCAGGGTCTTCATCTTTAGGTTCCTGAGCCACTGTCCCCTCTGATTCACCCTCTCTGTCATCTTCTGCTGCCTGGTTCACAGCTCCCTCACCAGCCTCAGACTCTTGCTTACAGGGTGGCACATCGTGGCCAGCTCTGGCCACCTCAACCTCCACGGTATCACTTGAGTCCTCTTCTCGCCGTTTCTTCCTCAGGCGACTCAGGATGCCCTTCAGGGGCCTCTCTGCTGGTTCTTGTTCTCGTTTTCTTCGAAGACGATTCTGAAGTTCTTTCAAAGTGAGCCCATCACTGTCACTGTCAGAGGTGTCTTCCTGCTCATCCCCTCCTTTGGCCTTTTCAGAAGAGGTGGGGCGTTCCTTCCCCCGCTTGGAACGAGATGCAGGAACACTCTTTATCTCAGAGCTGCTCTCAACACTACCTTCCGAGGCACTTTCCACATCTGTGACTGGACAGGATGCTGCCTCGCCGGAATCCTCAAGGGAAACAGGCACATTCTTTCTTCCTCGGCGTCGAACTGTGGTCAGGAACTCTTCTACCCTCTCAGTGCGCTTTGGCTGCCTCCCACTGCGGCGCAGGGAGAGGCTGTGTGGCTGCTGCTCCACAGGGTCTACCTCAGTGTCGCCAGCACCCTCTCGCTTAGCAATTGTTGTTCTCCGGAACCCCCAAGTCTTCCTGAACTCTTTACTTGTGGGCTTAATAGCTTTAGGTGCTTCCTCATTGCTCTGGTCCCCAGGATCATCCATACCTAGAGTAAAAGGCAATCCCAGCATGAGCCGCAGACCACTGAGGCAACTCCTTATGTGCATAAAGGGGCACGTGCTCAAGGGAAATACGAACACCCCTGAAACAAGACAGGTTTCTACACACAAAAGTGGATTTCTACATAAATGATGGGCTTCTGACCTCGTTTTCTATGCTGTGGTTGAGACAACTCCAAGTCAGTCACAAAATTCATTTATATAGCAAATGCCCAGTAGGAAAGAATCCAGCCAGCAAACCCAATGTACAATGTCCCTACTTAACTGCTAAGAACCAGGCTCTACCAAGCAGGTAGGAAGCAATGAAGCAAACAGTAGGCCGTGAAGGGTGAGGCTGGATAACACCTGGGTGGCACTTAAAAGCCACACCCATCCAATGGCACTTGACATGGATCTAGGCTGGCTGCCTGAGGATGTAGGGGACACAGTGCTATGCCATTTCTATGCATGGCTACCAAAGGACAGGCCAAGTACCTCTTGGGCTTTAGAGCTCTAGCTCTGGGCACCCTCACATAGGGCCTGGCTCAGGGGTAACCCTGCCTCAGATCCTGCAAATCAGCCCAGCTGCTGGCTGAGTGTGAAGCCAGGCCCATGGCCATTAATTAAGAGGAGAGCCTACTCCTGACCACAAGCTGGGAGCCAGGAAGAGCCTTGTCTCAGTCCACTCTACCCACTGACTTGGCCACAGTTTCAGGTGTTAAGTCTTCACCTCTGTTTCACTTTCTTCCTAAATCATTAAAGAACACGTGCCAATTTTTATTTTTGTTTATAATGATAAAACTGATCTGGAGAATTCTTTTCCAAGCTAGCGAACCACCAAGTAATTATAATTGCTAATTCATTCACATGATAAAATTATTTAAGGAAAATGTTTTCTCTGTTTATGGAAACGAACAAATTTGTACCAAACTTACTTTTTTCAACTGTTGGTGAGGATAGCACCTAGGGCCTCAAGCATACTCAGCAGATGCCCTGTACCTGAGCCACACCCCTACCCCTGGAGGTAACAAAACTGACGGCATCCACAAGAGGGTCAAGTCCTATCAAACTTCTACCCAGATGAAGTTACAGGGGCTGGTACTAGACTTCCCCAAGAACACAGTGTGGTCACCGTCCTCTACTTCCAAGACCCAAGGAACCTCATGCAGAGCTGGGAAAAACCCCCTACCTGCTGCCACAGGGATGGCTTTCTGCAGGAAGGATTCTCCTCTACAATATACACATGTAAGCATTAATAAAATAACCAGTGGTAAAATGAAAAAACACAGAATCAGATTCCTAACATAGTTCAATATTCATGTAATTACCTCGAGCTAACATTTATAGTATTGGGAATGCTATATTAGATCTGTTTATTTACAAAGAATGCTACTTTAATAGTAGGAAATATAAAACTCATTATGTTAACACTTTTTTGCTACTGTTTAACTGTATTGGTGCTTTACCTGCCTTATTATCACTGATAGCTTGGACACTGTCTCCTGAAATCCTAAATATAACACAAAACCTGGCTGATGAAGCTGCTTGGTCCCGCTGTTGGCCAGCTCTCAGCACACTGCAGTCAGTCACTACTCACGAGTGAGAGGATTCAAACTTCCAGCAACCCAGACAGTCTAAAGGCTGCTCCTGGAGTGAGGTCCTACAGGAAAAGAAAAACATGTTATAGCTCTTTTAATTATGGAACTAAACTACTCACCAGTAATGGAAAAAAAAAAAGAGAGACCAAACTTTCCAAATAACCCCTTACTACAGTGACCCACAAAGACATCTGCAGGGTCAGGAAAACACTCCCACCAGGGTCTATTAAGGACTCAGGCCCAATGGCAGAAAAGGCTGGTACACTCAAGAGACAGCTCAGACTGCCAAAGGAGGAGTGGCAAGTCTGAGAGAGACCAAGGCCCAAGGATTGGTATTAGGGCATCAGTTTCTTTCCAGTTATGAGCCTACTTGTGAAGTGGACCCAGCTTAGTGAAACCCATCACTGAGTGGAGAAACACGTTCATAAAGTAGAGAGACTGAATAACAAAATTATGCATATATTTACTTAAAGACTCCTAATATTGTACCTCTATCATCATTTACTGAAAATCTAATGAATTAGGAAGATGTGTTCACATTTACTATCATCAACACAATATGGGTCATTTACATGTGTTTAAATAACACTTCTAGAACCTCTGTGAAATACCCTAATTTAAACACTAATTCAAGATTCATTTGTTTCAACAAAAGGGGGCCTCTGATTCTAGCCAGGTTCTAAATATTTATCTTTTTCTGCACAGTGGCCCTTGAGCCTGCTCTCCTAAGCAGAACCCTGGATCTTACCTCTTCCTCTCCCTGGCTTCACCTGCCAACTCCCTAGTGACCCCATACAAAGCAGACAGTGACCACACAGACCTCAGTATCCACTGTGATTACCCACAAGGTGCATGATACTAGCGTCCTCTCATCCATATAGGAAACTCATCCTCAACACGACTATTTCAAGAGTTCAGAAACCACTTCTCAGAGGAAACCAGAAATACAAATCTGTATTTCACAATGCTCAGCACTGATAAAAATAAATGTTCTCAAGAATGAAAACCCATTTCAAAAAAATTTAGGACTGGAGATGCATCTCAAGGGTAGACTGCCTGCCTAGCATGCAACAGGCCCTCTGCGTGACCCTTAGCACAAGAAAAAAAGGGGGGAGGGGCAATATCAATGTGTGTGCTAACCTGAAAAATAAAGATTTTTCTCAACATGGGTTCTCAAAAACTAATCCGGAAAGAAAGTTATTTCTGTTAAGTAGAGTGACATAAAGGAGTTTTGGACAGATCAGATCATTTACATCTGCAAAATTTTCACTTTATAATTTCACGAGTACAGAAAAATCAAACAAAATCTTAGTTAGCTTGTGAAATAAGATGTACACTCCTGTGATCCCAGCACTTTGAGGCCAGCCTGGTACATAGTTAGTCCAAGACCAACCTCAACAATTAAACATACCAAGAACCCTGACTCAAAAAGCCAAACCAAATCAAAACAAAACAAAGTAAAATACACATGTAAGGCAAAAAGAAAACATTGTGTTAAGTTTCTAACACTGCACAGACATTACAGGGGAAATAGGGTCCCCAAACTGTAATCATATCATAGTAATATCAACTTCTCTCCAAATAAACATGGGCCTCTCAGCACTTGCAGAAGTAAATGAACTAGTTTAACCCCAAATGTACTGAATTTACAGTATTTCTTTTTTTGTTTCTAAGCACATTACTTCGTCCCTAAAAACTGCTCCTACTGACTAGAAGTAGGGATAATGCTATGAAATCTTAGTCTGAAAATTTATATATATATATAAATCAACATTTCTCAACAGCTCTGTCACCAATGTAGCCTGCCATGTGACTTATGACAACTACACGGCTGAAAAGTACATCAAGAGTAGGGTATGTCACTATCACACTTCTCCAATTGCAGCTCTCAAATCCCTTATTCTCCGGCCCCTTTATATTCTTAAAGCTGAGAATCCAGGGCGGGGGATTTAGCTCAGTGGTTCCAGCGCCTACCTTACTGGAAGGTCCCGAGTTTGATCCCCGGTACCAAAAAAAAAAAAAAAAGGTTGAGAATTCAGCTGGGTACAGTGGTGTGTGTTTAAACCCCAGTAAACTGGGAGCCTGAGGCAACATGATCACAAGATGGAGGCCAGCCTGGGCAATTCAACAAGGGCATGCCTTAAAAATAAGAAGGGTCGGAGATGTACCTGAGGGGTGGACAGTTGGTGCTGAGAATTCCAAAGAGCTTTTATTTATGTGAGGTATATCTACTGGCATTTGAAGAATTAAATACTTAATTATCTATTTAAAAATAAATCCACTGAACATCAACACTTTATAATCCCAGCAATCAGGGTAGATCACAAGTTTGAGCCCAATCTGGGCAACTTAGTCACACAGTGAAACTTTGTCTCAAAATAAAAATTTTTTTAAAAAAAGGCTGGTGATGTAGCTTAGTATTGAAGGCCCAGATTCAATCCCCAGTACTGCCACCACCAAACAAACAGACAAGTAAGCAAATGAATCAATGTTAAGAATGGTGCCGTTTTATATAGAATACAGTTGAATTTTCATATGTGCTTCTGCATTCTATTACTGCCAGGTGTGGTTTTGATTTAAATATATGAAAAAGCCCAGCCTTAGACAGGTATATCTTTGGAAAATGAAAGAGTAAATAAGTTTCATAAGTTAACTACCAACATGGGATCTGAAACCAGGTCAATGAACTTTCTTATATTAAAACTCACTAGTCTGAGGGCCGGGGATTTAGCTCAGTGGTTCCAGCGCCTGCCTCGAAACTGCAAGGTCCCAAGTTCCATCCCCGGTACCAAAAAAAACACAACTCACTAGACTGTCTTGTATGTCGGATATACCTCTTACCTATGTTTGTGGGTCATTTAGAAAATATACGCAGAAAATAGAAAAGAAATGCATTTGTTAATGTCAGCTCAGATCCCACCAGAAGTCAGTTTAATTACTGGGAAGTCATTAGGCTCAAAGTGGCAGATATGATTTTTTCCAAAATCCTAATTTTTGCTTCAAATTTTATCTTGAGCAACAAATACTGTAGTTGCTTTTCTTGACGTATCATTCACTTTGGAGAAAATGCCTGCCACACACTGAGCTAAAAGCTGCTGTGAGTCTGCTCTTTCAAAAAGTGGCTGGGGCCAGGGATTTAGCTCAGTAGCACCATGCCTGCCTCATCAAGTACAGGGTCCTGAGTTCAATTCCCAATACCAAAAAAAAAAAGTGGCTGGCTCAGCTCCTAGACCCAGCCCCCAAGGGGTCCTCTCCTGGGGAGCCGTCCCAAGAAGATGCTGAAGTACTCTGGGTGGACTTCTAATTTCTTCAGAGGGAAGGTTAAGTAAATGTATATCCGAGGGTTAAGATATAAAATACTTTTACTGCTTCATCAAGAACATTAATTCGTAAGAGAAACTGGCATATAGTATTTTAAAATTAAAGGCCCAAAACATCCTGGGAAGAAAATAGTACCTCTGTCCACATGCCTGCAAATGTCAACTCAGAGGAAAAGGCTATCCTGCTAGACTATTGTAGAAAGTTTTGATTTCTTAGCTCCAGAGACAGTTTTGGGGACCTCAAGGGGATCATGGAACCCTCTTGGAGAATTTTGGCTGCTATCTCCACTAGTTTAAGAATACACTGGACATGCCCAAAGCATATCCATCCATCCTAATACCATTTGTGCTGCACATCAAGAGACTTGCAATACTTCCTCTACAATAACCTTCAGATTCCCTGACTCAGCTGCCAGAGTGAATTTATAAAAAACTAAGTAAAACATATCCTCCAAAAATTTCAGTTATATATTATTTTTAAAAACTTTTAAGTATTAGCCCACTTGCTGCACAAGCCCAAGGACCCGACGAGTTCGATCCCCAGTACCAAAAAAACCCCCCCAAAAAACCTTTTAAGTATTAGTGATACATAACTTTACAATCTCTATACATTTGAAAGTTTAGCTGCTACTATTCTAACTCTGATGGAAGTAAAGTAATAGAATCACACCCATTTAAAGATGTTTGGTTCCAGAAACTTAAGACTAACAGTTTTGGTTTTTTTAAATGGTACTGGGGATTGAACCTAAAGCCTTGCTCATTCTAGGGAGGCACTGTACCACTAAGCTACATCCACAGCTCCCTCTTTTCTTTTAAGGCAGGGTCTTGATAAGCTGCCTTGTGGATCCTGCCTCAAGCTCCTGAGTAGCTGGGAATATAGTATGTACCACCACACCCAGATGACACTAAGTTCTTAGTGATCAGTCTCTGATATACTTTAAAATACAACCATAATTAAGTTCCTATACTCATGCCATGGGCAACCTTAGGAAAACAGCCATAATGTCTGTAACTGCACATTCTGCCCCATTTGGTGGCAAAACATGATTTTTCAAACAAATTTTCCCCTGAAACTATTAAAAACTAATAATATGCCTAGTATTTTGTTGTTGCTGTTGTTACCAGGGATCGAACTCAGGACCTTGCACTTGTGAGGCAGGCGAGGCACTGCTGAGCTAAATCCCTGGCCCTACCTAGAGTTTTTAAGACAATCTCCTGAAATGGTAAAAACGTTGTACACTGTTGCCTTCAGCAGTAGCTGCTTGTGGCCCACAGGATACCTGCCACAGGCTTTTCTGCTCTTCCTGGAGACCCCAGGTCTGCCACCACAGAAAGGTTTAATCCAGAAGGGAAATGGAGACCCAACTTTTCATTTATTTTAGTATCTACACAGAATGTGACTCAACTATGCAAACTGCATTTAAATCCTTTAGATGTCAATTCAAAGTTTTGCTATTTAACAAATCAATCCTTAAAATTATTTCAATGAAACAATGGTGTTATACAGCACCTTTCTCACGAGGAAAATACAGGAGAAAAAAACCTAACAACCCCATTTGTTCTAAACTTCTTAGGTCTTAATGCTTGTGAGGATTAAGCTTAACTGTTAACTTGACTGGCCTGGGAGCCCAGTGAGGAATTAGTAAAGCTCATTTCTGGGTGTTTATGGGTGGCTCAGAGAAACTTTCCACTGGAGTCTATATCTAGTCTCTTTCCCTCCGGGGCTCTTCGGTGCTCTGCTC